AATGTTCCAAAAGTAGGAATGTGCTCTAAGAACATAAAACAAGAATAAGCAGAACCCCATGGGGCGGGAAGGTGCTAGCAACAGCAGCCTGCTCCTTCCTCCTCCTTCCCCGAAAGGTTTTCTACTCTACGAACCAGTGGGCAAGGATCCTACCACTCATTCAGAAGTTGTGCCTGGAGGCAGCAGGACGTGCAAGAGGCTGAGCTGAGTTCAAGCCAAGGTTTTGAAATCCATGGGGCTTCCCCTGGCCTTAACTCTAACTCTGAATTCCAGCAGTCCTGAGCTGTTATGTCTGCCATCCCAAGGAACGTCCTGTACAAGTCAACCCGGACTATCTTGCTATTCCGGCCTCAATCCTCTTCTGTCACGTTAGAAGCATGCAGAAAGCAGAGCCTGCCTTCCTCCGGAAGATGCTTCCTGACTACCCTCCCTTCCCTGCCTCGGGTTTCCCAGTCTTCTGTGTGGTAGTTGTGGCGTATCAGAACACCCAGCTCCTTGATCTATGCGTATTCCTGTAAGGATTCCATACAGTCTTGGCTCTTAGCACTCCCATACGCATTTCTAATTCCTGGCTCCGGCCTGGAGTTCCTCCCTCATCTCCAGACTCGGCAGCCTAGCTGATGTCCGTCCCCCTCCCCTGCCCCCCCGACCTTTTTTCCCCTAATTTATTATTTTATGCGTATGACTGTTTCGCCTACGCGACTGTATGTATGGGCACTGTGTGCATGCCTTGTGCTCTTGAAGATGGTGCCAGAGCCCTGGAACTGGAGTTACAGGCCATTGCTAGGAACCATGTGGGCACTGGGAATCGAACTCAGGTATTCCGCGAGAGTGGCCAATACTCTTCACAGCTGAGTTCCCCATCTGATTTCTAATGGGTGCATTAGTTAAGTTTGTCTTGGGTGGAGGCCCGCCCTTCCTCAACCCCAAATCATTTCTCCTCATGTTTATTTCTAGGTTTCAGGCCACAGCAACTTCAACCTGCCATGGCCTAGACCTTGGAGCTATAATTAAATATCCTTTGTCCCAATAACCATCCGAAACTTACTGGCTCCAACTTAAACCTGCATCTGGGTCTGCCTCCTCCTGCCCTGTCTTCTGCGGGGCTGAAGGTTTGGTTTTCTTGCTTCCTCCCTTGCCCTCTGCAGTCCCTTTCAATTTTAGAAGTCAAAGAGGTCGCTCCTGAGCTCATGTAATTCTTTTTTTTATTGATATTTATTGAGCTCTACATTTTTCTCTGCTCCCCTCCCTGCCTCTCCCCTCCCTCCTTCAATCCTCCCCCAAGGTCCCCATGTTCCCAATTTACTCAGGAGATCTTGTCTTTTTATACTTTCTGCTTCCCTTGTAGATTAGATCTATGTAAGTCTCTCTTAGTGTCCACATTGTTGTCTAAGTTCTCTGGGATTGTGGTTGGTAGGCTAGCTTTCTTTGCTTTATATTTAAAAACCACCTATGAGTGCGTACATGTGATAATTGTCTTTCTGTGTCTGGGTTACCTCATCCAAAATAATGTTTTCTAGCTCCATCCATTTTCCTGCAAAATTCAAGCTGTGGTTATTTTTTTCTGCTTTGTAGTACTCCATTGTGTAAATGTACCACATTTCCTTATCCAATCTTCGATCGAGGGGCATTTAGGTTGTTTCCAGGTTCTGGCTATGACAAACAAAGCTGCTATGAACACAGTTGAGCACATGTCCTTGTGGCACGATGCTCAGGTAATTCTTAATAGCTAAGAACAACGCAAAGCGTCCTGAATGAGCTGCCCATGGGGGCAGAGGCGTTGCTCTTCAACTCTCCCTGTGGACCGCCCAACTGTCACCTGGCAATGCAGTCCGAGTCCGTGCCCAACACCCCCAGCCAGCTCCCATCCGCTTTCAGGGTTCTACCCGGTACCGTTTTTTTTTTTTTCCAAGTCTTTGCTCAGTCACATACAGTCTTCCTTAACCACAAGATTTAAAGCTGCAGCCTTCCACCCCACTTTCACAGTTTTCCCCACCCCCTTCCCACAGTGCTTCACGTCTTCCGGCAAATGCTAGCGCTTGTTTATTCCCTTTGCCCTTTCTGGTTCCTTTGCCACATAAGGTCCCGAGCACCAGGAATTGTGTTTGCTTTCCCTCAGCTGCACACCCCAGAGCGGCCCCTGCCAAGGGATGTTGCTGTTTACCAGACGCTGGCAGTCAGTGTCACGTGTTGAGTTTCGGCTGGGAAAATGTTCTGCCGGTAGCCTGAGAGCTGCAAAAGGACTGAGTGGGCTCCACTGTGATTCTCCCAGACCCAAGTGTCATTCCCATAATCGGCAACCTGCACATCACTGAGTGATGAAAAGCAGATGCATTCCCTGTCACTATGGAGACAAGAACATCCGGGAAAAGCCTACTTGGAGTTTAAAGGGCAACACGGAGGACGCCACGGATGTTCTGCAACCACCTGAATGAGCCACACCGGCCAACAGTTCCCAGCACATCAATCCCTGCACGACTTTCCCCCTTGTTCCTGGTAGACAGCACACAAGGTGTTGATATCCTGGTGTTAACATGAACTAAACAGGGGTAAAGGTTAGTGGGTAACTGCAGCATCGCGTCACGATGGTCAAAAGATGTTGGAACAGTGTTTGAGTACGAGCTGGGAAGGGGAGCAGTAACCATCTGGAGGGTCATCTTAAGTATTACCATGCATGCCACAAAGCAACCTTGAACCCGAAACTGCTGTTTCTAAAGCCTTTAGTAGTGACTGCACCCAGTAGGTGCTTAGACAATGAACAGCGCATGCTTGGAGAAGGGTACTGTATAAAGGTGGAGCGATGATATTCTGAACTGTTCCGTTTACCCTCAGCCCCAAGTACACATACACCTTAAATTCCTTGGGAAAGGGCTAGGAACTGGACCTGAATCCGCCTCCTCCTCCCTTCCTCCTAGGAGTTCTGGGAAGGAGCCCCTCACCAGTGCCTTCACTGACCCGGGATGCCCTCCAAGATCTGAGTTGGGGCCAGAACCTAGGCACCCAGCCTCCCAGAGTCTAGTCTGGCGTCTCCGGTAGCCACTGTGAGCATTCTGAAGAGAATAATTTTGGAGGCTGAGAGCCATATTTTCAGATTTGATTTCAACCAAGTGTTTCCATTTAAGAAGGCCTGCCAAAAAGATAATGGAGACTTTAAAAAAAAAAGTGCTCTGTAAACTGTAAAGTGCTACCAAATGGTTAGTTATCTGAGGATCACTGCCAAGGTCAACAAATTGAGGCCTGGGTGTAGAGCCAGCTCTTCAACTTGAAGGGCTATGGAAAGGCTGGACATAGGGTCTGTGTTTGCCGAAACCGGAACACAACTTCCTGTCTGTGTCCCCACCATAGATCCCTTCATCTATATGAAGCACAATGCATTTTCACCTAAGCGAACCAGTGTTGATTTTACATTTGCGCTGGAACCCATTTTCAGAACTCCTCCCACCCCTGCCCTCTTTTGAAGATGTGCTAAGCTCGTCTACCTGACTGCGGGGCAAATGGCTCTTCCCAAAGTTGCCAAGCCTCTAAGTGCTCTTCTTCCATACTTAGCCCCCGCTGCATTACAACGGAGCCAAGCTCTGGCTTTCAAACCACATCCTTTCGCCCTCAGACACCTCTTTGTCATCTAGCGGCTGAATGGGCCTTGTTCCTCTAACTTGGCTGGTGAAAGGGGACCCCAGGAAGAATAAACTTCACATTTTCTGGCTTCCTTATCCCAGCATCCAACGCTGGCAGGGCAGCAGTGTTGGGTGACCTCTGGCATTAGGTTAATGATCTGGGTCGGAGCCTGGGCTAGATAATGAGCCCGCACACAATGGGGAGATGTCTGTCAAAGCTTTATCACCAGGAATCTGAGCGCAGAGGGAAAGCCCCTTTGTCCTGCACACCCTGCCCCCGTTCCCCAAGTATCTTCTCTTCATCCGCGGAAGCTAATGGGTTTTATGTGGCGTTCATTCACTCTCCACGAGTTCCCACTGAAGGGGCTCTGTACCAAATTCAGTCTCAGATGCTTCTACACTTAAGGGCTTGTAAAACAGCGAGAGAAAAGATAGCAGGTAACTTACAGAAAGCCTTCTGTTCTGGGCCCAGGAAGGCTCTACTTTGTTCCTACTCTGCAATAGGAGTCTGGAACGCCCCAAGTTAGAAGTGCATTAATAAGGATGCAGCAGGGATCCTGCACACAAGCTGCTGCTGAGTTCTGCCAGTGACCTCCTTCCACGTTTCTCAAGTGTTCCGTGTGTGGCATTACAGATATCTGTCCTCCCCCAAGAGTAAGAGGTGGACAGGGACGCAAGATACCTATTGTTACACAACTGGAAAAACAACAAACTAGTTCTTTTGAGGGACTACCATCAATAAAATACTTCACTCGTCCAAAGAAAAACCTATTGGGAGAAAATGAGGAAATGGTCTTCGCGCTTACAAGTTTTCAAAGTATCAACCAGAGGGGCTGAGCTAGAAAAAAAAAATGCTGTGCCTCAAGAAGTAAAAAGCCCTGGCAAGCTAATCTTTTCACACAATCCAAGGTTCAAATGAATCATCCTTTAAGGAGAGAAAATTACTGAGCACTCCTGGGGGCAAATTTTGGTCACCTTGTGTTAGGGTAGGATTTTTGCCTCCATCCCCTTGGATCAGATTTGTTTTGTTTTGTTTTTGCTTTGAGACAGGGTTTCTCTGTATAGCTCTGGCTGTCTTTAACTTCCCTCTGTGTAACAGCATTAGCTGTCCTGGAACTATTCTTGTAGACCAGGCTGGCCTCGAACTCAGAGAAGATCCACCCGTCTCTGCCTCCCGAGTGCTGGGATTAAAGGTGTGCGCCACCACTGCCTGCCTGTGGATCAGATTTTAAACCCTTCTTTCTACTCCATCATCCATTAAGTCTAAATACTGAAGGCAGGGGAAGGAGTGGGGAATTGAGAGGAAGCCCTGGGGCTCTTGCTTGCTTGAAACTGAGAACACTGAGCAAGGGCAAGAAAGAGGCAGGCATCAGGAGCTCGTAAAGGAAAGCAAACTTCTTTATTGTACACAGTACAGAATATAACGCAGCTCAGCAGGATGTACACAGCCCTGCGCAGGGGGGTATTTCAAATCAAAGGCGGGTTAAAGCCTTTCTGCACTGTAGACTTTCCACACTCTGGAAAAGCAGCGAACGAATGGAACAGCCCCCACACCCTGAAGGAAACATCTATTTGGGGGGCACATGAGTCCAGTGGGAATGCAAATGACGCTGCTGTCCTGTGTCCCTCGACAGCACAGGCTGTGCATCACAGCAGGGGAGGGGCAGCTCAGGTTACAGAAGGTTCTTTTCATACCAATAAAACAGCATAAACATGGAAAAAAAAACAACAAAAAAAACCCAAACCAGTAGAAGGGAGGAAAGGAAAACAACCAAACAAACAAAGCAATCTATACAGCATTTACAACAAATAAGTCTCGAGCCGGCTGGGTAAAACTCGCATCTATGTATAGGCTATGTGTAGACTAGAAAGCTATAAATATCCTTTAGGAAGAGGCCTTTCCTTAGAGCACAATGCTCATTAAGGCCCAAGCTTCAGGCTTGACACCTCTGAGGGCTGACTAGCTCTCAAGAGGAAAACCTTGGTTTCCCATAGCTATAAAAATGCACCCCTCGTCCTTCACACGGGTGAGAGGGCTATGGGCTATGGAGTGCCTCAGTGTAGGGCAGTAAAGCCTGTCCCCCCCACAGTCAGTTCTGGGTCCTGCACAAGAGGACACCCTTATCACAGGTGGAGTGTTAAGAACAACAGGCCTGTCAACAGGGGGCAGGCGGGCAGCAAGATCCCGGAGCTCCCCGGTGACTTTCCCTCCACTCTGGACCTGACTTCCATACCTCCTCAGTTTGGTTGTTTAAAACATTCCCAATATAATACAGCAATCAGAATAAAAATGTAAAAACGAGAGTAGCAGGAAGCCAGGATGCGAGCTAGCACTGTCTTACCTGCCCGTGACAGGTAAGTTTCAGATCCAAGGGAACCCTTATGCAGGGGTGAAGGTCCAAAATGGAAAGAGAAAAGAAAACTGAGACGATGCCTATGTGGCTCCCACCAGGTGACCAGTTGTTAAATGGACATGACGTGTAGTATGTACATCTGCTTCCCAGAGAGGGCAAGTTAGTGAGCAAGGAGAACTATACACAGAGAGTCGAAGCTGTGTCCAGGCTGCCCAGCACACTTCGAGAATTGTACAAACCAGGTGTAATGTTTCAAGAGGTTATCTGGTGCACAGCGCACCAAGGAGGCTTCTACATGGCGAAGGGAAGCCCCAGCCGAGCCCCTCTTAAGCTGCAATGTCTTCGTAAGTGGGCACGGCCCTGCCTAAGGGACATAGTGCAGTTACCAAAAGGTTTTTGTTTTTGTTTTTTTTTTTGCTTTAAATACCAAAACTACAAAAATCAGTTTGTAGAAACTGTTTTCTTTTTTTTTTCCCAAAACAACCACCAAAACAAAATGATCCCCCTAAATCAAAGCAAAACAAAATACTGTCAAGTGTTAGTCTTTCTTCTAAAATGAAAGCCATCCGCACTCAGCCATGTGACTGGGAGGAGAGGGGCTTGATCTACTTGGTGACCACTCTGGCTGAAGGCTCAAGGGGAGTGGCTAATAGCCGCCCGGCCTCCCCAGTTCTGGGCTAAGGGGGAGACATTTCAGACTTAGCTCCAGGAGTTTTGTTTATTTCAAGCCTTAACGATCTGAGCCTCCCCAACCGAGCCTTCAACTTTCCTATGGGTCTGCGGTTTCTTTCCAAAGAATTGTGCAAGTCAAAGCCCTTCTATATAAAGGCATTTAGTAGTCCATGGTCATGGCGGATTGTCATACACTCGTTCCCCTTTCGTGGGCGCTAACCTGAGCAAGGGACTGCTCTGCACATGTTGTCCACAATGGCAAGGAGGCTCCACTTTCATCTCTTCTCACCAAATCTCAGAATCACCAGTCACGTGGTGGTTTTTCTGTCTCTCCCTGTCCCCACTCCTTAGCCAAGGTTATTTGTCTTTAAGGGTGTCAATCCAGAGATGGCTTGGGTTCTCCAGATAATACTCAAAGGGCAAGCTTTAGGAACAGCCAAGAACACAAACAAAACCACTGCCCTCATTTGCCTGAATGGGGACTGCTAGCTCTAGGGTCTGGCCGCTCAGCCATTTCGGAAACTTAGTAAGCAAAGCCTTCAGCATAGGGGAGGCTGCTGCAGCGATCCATGTCCAGGAGGTAAGCAGGGTTGTCTTCGAAGTGAGTCAGTGGCAGGGTGTCCTCGTCGTTGAGGGGGCATTCTGACTCTGCCTTCAGGAAGGGACGCTGATTGTCTGGGAAGGCCATGGAGAAAAGCGCATCGGGGTCGCAGACAAATTTGTAGACGTACCGTTCCCCGGCCACCTGCATGAGAGCACACAGCACAAGACTCAGCTGGGACAGGGTGTGGGGCTCGAGCAAAGACATTTTTAAGAGGCCAATCTCTCAGGGCGTCAAGAATGGAAGGGCTAATTAGTAGCTGATTATTCCAATTGCATCTCAGGGACCTATTACCTGCCAAGGGTTTTGTTGATACCATAGTGAAGTATTATAGAAGACGGCATTTGAATTTCAAATGCAAGCCTGCTAAGCTCTTTCAGCAGCAAGCCTCATTCTGTCTTACACTGACAGCTCAGGCAGCCTGGTTGCATTAGGGGAGATACAGGGACTTAAAGACACAATGCAGATGAGAGACCCACAATACTAAAACACCTCCAAAGCTTACAGTTTTCCCAGGATGGATGTGATATTTTGAAGGGTTCAGAGCCCCTTGCTACTTCTCCCTTCTTTGTGTGTGTGTGCAGAGGCCCACGGTTGCGACCAGCAGCCTTCTTCATCACTCTTCCACCTTATTCTTTGAGGCAGGGACTCTTCAATCAAACCCACAGCTTGCTGAAATAGCTTTAGAGATTGACACAGCGGAATTCGGAGGCTGGAAGTACAGGGGAGTCCTATACTCATGTACTATTTATCTGGGCATCTGAACTCCAGCCCTCTTGCATGGAAAAATGTTAACCACTGAGCCATCTCCCAAGCCTGGGTTAAGAATTTGATAAACACAGCCTCTGTGGACCTAAGTCTGTTCCAAGCTCCAAACCCTGCTTCTGACACTTCTGCTTGTGCATGGGTCTACTGAACTGGAAAGTCACTGTGCAGCTCAGGCTGGCCTTGGGCTTAAAATTCTCCTGCCTTAGTTTCTGCACACATCTGTACTTGGTGACAGTACAGCCCAAAGGTCTTGGTTACTCCAGGACCTTGTCATGCTGCTAGCCCAGGCTCTGTTGGTTCTTCAGTAACAGTGAGAGAAGGCACAGGCAAATCTGTCAGGCACTGTAGACCGCAGCTACAATTCCTGATTACGAAAGCACACCAATACTAAAACACCCCAATGTCTGGGTTAGCCCAGATCTGTCATTCTGCTGAGATCTCACATCTCAGTGTAGCAGAGGTCCGGACCCTGCTCCCCAGCCTTGGGCTTAACTCTGCTGCAGCTGCAGGTGCAGCCAGAGGCATAAGGACAACCAGACATCCCGGAGCCCTTACGGCTGATCCTCAGTGGCACTTCTTCCATCTGTGTCAACATTCCCTTCCACTCTGATACTAGAAATCAGGGATCATGCTTATCAGCACAGAGAACACAAGCACCAAAGCCAGCCCCAGGGGCCGCAGATGGAGACAGTTAATCACCCCGACTATTCATTTGTTTGTTTATTCATTCATGTATTTTTTAATTTTTAAGGTGGAGTCTTTTCGACGTAGCCAAAGCTAACCTGAAACTCACTATGTAGCTCAGGTTAGCCTTGGATTTAAAATCCTCCTGCCTGAGCACCAGGACAAGTCTGTACTATCAAGGCTCTCTCTATATCCTGTTCTTGGGTGGAGGGCACCACAACAATCCAAGAGCAGCATGGCTTCCATCACCGGTGTCATCGCTGTCTCAACTCGGTTCCACTTAGGAGGGCATGAACCACCTTTGACACTGACAGGCCACTTTACCTTTAAATCACCTCATTTAGCCACGGTTATAATAAAGCAATGGGAGCACATTATTATCACGTAGAGACTTTCAGGTCTATTATCCTGAGGTTGGACCAGAGCCCTGCATTTTCACTGTAAGGGATAAGAAATGGTACATGACCCAACAGGCTACTACTAACAAAAGTTATGATATGAACCTGCCAAAGCCACACTTCTGGGCTTTCCTATACCCAGAAATCAAGAGTCTCTTTGTCCTTAGTTCTAAGCTACTGTGCCTAGAATTTACACTCCTTCATATTTGATCTGGAGCTCTGGGACTAACTGAGGAATGACATCATTTGCAGTGGTTTGGACAGGAAATGCACCTATAATCTCAGGCATCTGCACGCTTGGTCCCTAGTTAGTGGCACTAACTAGGGTGTGCTTAGGAGGTGTGCCCTTGTGGGGCAAGTGTATGTAACTGGGGAAGGGCTTTGAGGTTTCAAAGCCTTGTGCCACTTCCAGTTGGCTGTCTCAGCTTCTTGTGGCTCAAGAGGTGAGCTCTTGGCTTCCATTCCTGCTGCACTGTCTGCCATTTCCTGCCATCATGGACTCTTAAACCCGCTGGAACCTTAAGCCCAAATAAATCCTTCCTTCTAGGTGCTGTGTTAGTCATGTTGATTTTTTTCCTCTTCCCAAGATAGGGTTTCTGTGTTCAGCCTTGGTTGCCCTGAAGCCGACTCTGTAGACCAGGATGGACTTGAACTCAGACCTGCCTCTGCCTCCGGAGTACTGGAATTTGTGTCGCCACCATCCAGCCTGGTCATGGTGTCTTAATCAGAGCAACAGAAAAGTAAACGATAAAACATTTTTTCCCTGTATTGGAGATACGATCTGATATTAAATGGGTTGGGGGAGATAAAAATCTCCTAAATTTGACTGTAGGACAGTGGCACAGATTAACTGGTAAAGTCTTCAAATACTCCAATATCTCTTTAAAATTAAACTTCAAAGCATTAAATGCTTCTTGTTCTATGCATTTCAGATAAGGATACACAATCTGTGCCATAAAGGCTGTCCCCGTGTGTAAATATTAGACTCTGGGGAGACGTACAGCATATATGTGCCACTTAAGAAAGGTACAATCAGTCCTACCTTCCTATCAATGGTATTTTAAGGTTGTGGCCCCTTTACCCCTATCCTAATGAGGACTCTGTAGTGGCTTTTCCAAAGTAGGCTTTATTTTCTATACTGCAAAGAAAAACCTCATGCTGAATGACTGTAGCTGCTATCTGACAAATGCTGGGGTCTCTTAAGTTACAGGCTGTACTGGTTTGAAAGAGAAACAGATGCTGGGTGGGTGGTGGCGCACATCTTTAATCCCAGCACTCGGGAGGCAGAGAGAGGAGGATCTCTGTGAGTTCAAGGCCAGCCTGGTCTACAGAGTGTGTTCCAGGATAGGCTCCAAAGTTACAAAGCAAAAGCGAAACCCTGTCTTGAAAATAAAAAAGGGAAAGAAAAAAAGGGAGAGAAATATATTGTCTATTTTTCTAACTCCTTGAAAGGGTTTCTTGCTGCAATGACAACAACGTAGATCGCTGTATCCCAAATGTTTGAATAACTAAGGGTTCCAGCTCTGTGGAGTCGAACTCTTAGGTCAATTCCTTCATGTGTTCCTTTACATATACAACAGCAGTTGGCCCAAGTGTCTGAGTCTTTTGTAACCAGAAGCAGTTAAGAAAAGTGGAGGAAGTCAATTTCCTCTTGTGTCTTTCACATAAAACTTGTCATATACTCAACAACATTAAAAGCATTTTTTTTAAAAAAGTGTCCATTTTTAAAACACGTATGCATGTGGATCCGAATGTATGTTATGTGTATCATGTGTACAGTACCGGTGGAGTTACAGAAGGCTGTCAGCTGTCTGACGGGGGTGCTGGGATTTGAAGTCAGGTCCCTGGAGAGCAGCAAGAGCTCTCAAACGCTGAGCCACCTCTCCAGTCCTAAAACTACTTTAAATATTCTATTTGTCTCCCTTCTATTTTAAGTTTTTGGAGACAGGATCTTATGTAGCCTGGGCTGGCCTAGAAATTGCTCTGTAGGTGAAACTGGCCTTGAGTTTCTGATCCTCCTGTATGTACCACACCATCTTATAATTCCTGTCTTTTTGTTTTTTCTAGGTTCTCTTCTACCACAGACTCACTTATGAGGCTCACGGGTTTCTTCTAGCTACTGTAAATGTCCTTACTGCCAAGGCTAGGGTCACTTTCTCCTTGAGAGCGGCAGAGAGCTGTAAGCATCTGCAATTGCTTACCTTCTGCATGATGCCCTTTTCATAGTAATAGCGTAGCGAGCGGCTCAGTTTGTCATAGTTCATGGCTGGCCGATTCTTCTGGATGCCCCAACGCCGAGCAACCTGAAACAAGAGAGCAAAGATGCAAACACATTCACAGGGGTGACTGTTCTGTAACTCAACAGTTCCGGCTGACGGTGGCTTCTCTTACTCGGAAAGTAAAGTGTTTACTTCTCTCAAGATGAAATATTAAGCAAAGGTGATGATTCGGCCACAGTTCTCGCGAGGTGAGACCTAGGGGTAGACGCCTCCTAACACTGTAAGGCTGCAGAGGACTTGGTTAGCATCCCAGAGGATACCGGCTCTCTACTATTTCCCCATTTATGAATTATTGACCAATACTCACGGACCATTAACATATTGCCATTAAGTGCTATGGTTTCTGTAGCAGTCAATAAGGGATAATTAGAACGGTCATTCCTGAGACATTAGGAACATGTTAGCGAGCTGCTAATGGGCCTGCAGAGCCCAAGTTCAATTCTAATAAGATTGGAGAGGGGCTGCGAGATGTTTACTTATTGCAAGCTCATGGACTAAAGGGATTCAGGTCATTTCGGCCTCCTGCCATCCTGCCTTCCCTCCCTGCAGACCTGAGGATGGACAGTGAAGCACACAGCACCATTAGCCATTTAATGAAAAATTAACAGGGCTTCTCACACAGCTCCAAAGTGCATTACAGCAACCCGGTCCGCTTGAGGTGCAGGGATGGGGAGATGTAATTGGAGCTCTGGGCACAGGCGCTACAACAGGGGAATTTCCTACTGGGCTCTACTCAATTATCAGGGCAGCAAGTTCTGATCACCATTTAAACTTTCACAGTCGCACTTGGGAGGGCAGCTGTCAAGGCAGATCGACCATGGAAACGTGGGCTGCCCGATGCCTTCACTTCAGTCACCTTTGGAAACGTCAAAAAAGACCACCTAATGACATCCTTTTGATGGTTTTCTAAATTGTGTTATTTGGAGACGGGATCTCCTCTCTATATTGCCCAGGCTGGCCTTGAACTTTCAATCGTCCTGCATCCGCTTCCCAGTTGCTTAGATCGTAGGAACGCATCACTAACCCCAACTTGCTCTTTTGAGACAGACACACAAAGAGCAGTTCACATCAGCTAATGGGGGGGGGGCAGGGTGTGACAGAAACTCCTCCTGACTTCAGGATTCTAAAATGACCTCTAGCCAATAACAGAGACGATCTGGGAAGGAAGAACTCATCTGCCCTAATCATACCAGAGCAATCCACCACAAATCTTGGATCTCCCCATTGGTCCATTTTTTTTTTGTCAGTTCAAGTCTAATGTCAAAAAAAAAAAAAAAAAAAAAAAAAAACCCCAGAAGCAAATTTTAGCTAAAAGCGAATCCTGGTTAGCAGCCATTTTTATTTGAGACAGGATCTTATTATGTAGCTGGGGCTAGCCTGGAACTCACTATGTAGCCCAGGATGGTCTCAAGTCACAGAGGTCCACTTATCTCAGCCTCTGAAGTGCTGGGATTAAAGTTGTGTGCTAATCTACCCGGCAAAGGTAACTATTTCAAATCAATGGAAATACTGGTAAGAAGAGAAATTTGCTATGTTCATCTCAGTCCTGCAAGGTTTGACAGCAAGTCACACTCTGGAGCTGTTAACCTGTCTGCAACAAGTGACAGGGAGTGTCAAGGCAGCTGGCTTCGTCTCTTTCCTCCACTGGGTGGTAGAAAACGATTTTGCCCTGTCTTCATTCGGCTTGAGTGGTGACCCCTTTGCTGTCAGCGCATGCGGCAGCTTCCTGGAGAGAGGCTTCGTGCACGTGCAGATTCCAAGCTGCTCTGGTAGCTATAGCTACCAATTCATCCTCCAGGCTGATGCCCTGTGATTCAGTGGCCTCGCCACACTGCTCCCTCCACAGCAATGCGTGATGCAGCTGGAGACTTGCTGTCCCTGTTTGGTGTTAGGAGGAGCAGGCGAGAGCACACTGCCAGCTCGCTTCTTCCTTCTGCTCCCCAAGTAGTAAGTTACAGAATATACACTTTGGGAGCCAAGGCTAACGGGGGAGGGGGGAGACACACGGGACCTCACCTATTCCTCTTCTAAGAGTAAGCGGTCACAGAACAAGGTGTGGTTCTCACCAGCAGCCCAGCCTCCCATGGTGTCACTTATCTGCCATGCTCAACAAACAACCCTGCCCCCCTCCCCAAATATTCCTATTAATGCAGATTCACAGCTAAAATGGCTCCAGATTAAAGCCGAGTCAGTCATAATTGAGAGGGTGCTAAGCTGGGTGACGATCAAAAGACATTTGATTAGGGGGCCTGCCAGAACGCAGAGCTACAACCACAATTTCCATGCACAGTGTAATGGATATTATGGATAATTACCCAGAGTGCACTACTCAGCCACACAGCTGCCTACAATTACACCCCCAACAGCTTCCTCCTCGGCTTCACCCTCTAAGCTCCCCCACGACAAGTTCTTCCAGCTTTTCCTGGGAGCTGGTGGTATCTTCCTGACATTAGCAAGGACAGGGCCGTCACAGTTACACAAGGCGTGGAAGAGGGGGAAAAAATATCAAGCGCTGTGCAGGCCAAGGCTCAGGGCTCCGAAGATGTCAAAGGGCCCTGCATCGGACCTCAAGGCTGGCAATGAAAAATAGTTCCTCAAGAAACAAGGGTGGGGTGGCGGGGTGGCTCAGTGGGCAGAGGCATCTGCTCCCCTGGACTGGATCTTCTGGACCCACATGGTAGAGAGAGAGAGAGAGAGAGAGAGAGAGAGAGAGAGAGAGAGAGAGAGAGAGAGAGAGAGAGAGCGCACTCCTGTGAGCTATCCCCTGATGCAGCACATGCAAGCGTGCATGTGTCACCCCCACAATAAAAATGCATCGATGTAACCAAAACACCGCAATGAAGACTGCTGCTTAGTCAACAGAGAGGCTCAGGGCTGCCATGGGCTTCACCCAGGTGACTTGGGAGCCACTTGGCATTTATGAGCATTCTGGGTTAATATTGGTTCCTTCATTAAAGTGAGAAAGCAGGGGCCCTCTGCCATCTGTCCATCATTTTCCTGACTGCTGGCAGGAGAGCGGAAGATTCAATAACAGCCTTGCTGAGGTTCATAACCAGGTTTACCTGCAGCTGGACAGCCTGTGCTCAGGCCCGAGGCGGTGGCAATAAAGCCATAAAAGCTCCTGCTTGTGAACGAGATGAATCAATAAGAGCTGCCCACACGGACAGGCTGCCTTCCATTTCCGAAAGCCTCGGTGAGTCAGGGTACGGGCTTATCACCAAACCTCGCGTTAGCCAGGCCGCACTATCAGGAAAGCAGGGAGGAAGGGGTAGCCTATGTGGGGCAGTGGCCCCCGCCCCAGCATGGCTGGTGGCTCAGGCTCCATCTCCGCACAGCTGAGCCCAATCAGAGGCTGTTTGTAGTACTCCCCGTTGAGAGCATGTCTGCGAATAAACAGGAGACAGGGAATGCCACAGACATGGTGTGCACACAAGTGTGTACGTGGTGCTGTGCTCACAGGGAGGCCCGAGGTTACATGTCTTCCTCAATTGTGCTCTACCTTCTGAAAGCAAGCCTCTCTATCCCTGGAACTCATCCATCTGATGAGGCTGGACAGCCAATGAGCTCCAGGGAGCTGCCTGTCTTTATTCTGGGATTACAGATGTGTGGAGCTCTGCCTGGATGTCCCAAGGGGTACTGGGGATCCACACTGGAATCGCCACTCTTGGGTGGCAGGCGCTCTGTATATAAAACCCATGTTTTATACTACTTTAAATGAAGCCTGCCTTTTCTGACCAATGCAGGATGTCCCAAGTTTCTATACCACGTTTTCCTCCTTTATCTATCTCAGCCTTCAGACCACGTCCTTCTTCCAAACAGCGTCAGGTTGTTGCCTTCTGCGGCTCACTCTGCAATCCTTAATGGAACGCTTCCCAAGAGGGCTGTTCCCATTTCTATTGTACCAACTCAGGGGCAGAGGCTGCCTAACCACGCACTATTAAAGCAGTGTATGTCAGCCGGTGAGCATGTGTATGTATGTGTATCTTTTCCACCTACAATTTTTAAAACCCTAAACCAAATGATAATGAAAATTAACTCCCTTTGGCCTGCGATGCACTGATAGCCTGGTTTAATTCCCTATATTGTATGTTCAGAAATGGGTCCTATGGGGACATGGTACTCACTGAAGACAAAGCAGTGGGTTCAGTTTTAGGTTTTTCTTTGAAAAGTTCTGGGCAAAAAGACGGTGAAAATGTTTCCTTTTTGGAGGGAGCCTCGATGGAGAAAAAGCTTCCATAAAATTGGGCTGACAAGCAAGTCTATAAAACAGCAGTTATCAATCTATGGGGTTGTGACCCCTCGGGGGAGGGGTCAACGACCCTCTCAGAGTGGTCGCCTTAGACAATCTGAATACCAGATATTTACATTATGATTCATCAAAGCAGCAAAATTACAGTTATAAAGCAGCCATGAAAATAATTTTATGGCCAGGGGTCACTACAACACGAGGAACTGTACTAAAGGGTTGCAGCATTAGGAAGGTTGAGAACCACGGCTATAGAGTATTTTCTTAATTAGTGATTGGCATGGGAGGGTCCATTTCATTGTGGGCAGGGACACCCCCAAGCTGATGGTCCTGGTTTCTGTAAGAAAGCACTCCTCCATGGCTTGTGTCAGCTCCTGCCTCCAGGGCGGACGTGGAAGCATCAGCCAAACAAACAACAACAAAACCAAATCAACAACAAAACCCATTTCCTCCCCAAGGTGCTTTGGTAATGGTGTTTGATCACAGCAATAATAACCCTACAACTAAACTCAACAACCAGGATCCTACATAACATACTTAAAAAGGGAAAAAAAAGTATTTATATTCTCGGGCTGGGGACCTGGCTCAGCAGTTAAGACTCTCTGCTCTTGTAAAAGACCCAGGTTTGATTCCCAGCACCCACATACCGCCTAACAACCACCTGTAACTCCAGGATCCAATGTCCTCTCCTGGATTCCATGGGTACTGCACACATATGGTACACCAACATACACCCAGACACACATACATACATGTTTATAAAAATAAATACTTTAAAACCATTTAGAGACATGGGAAGTATGTAGTGGGGTCAGTGAGACGGCAACAGGCTAAGGCACCTGCTGTCACCACCAATTCCGGCAACCTGAGTTTGATCCCTGAGCCCCACACACAGGAAGAGAACTGATCCCCTAAGTGGTCCTCTGCCTTTCACACATATGCCAAGAATTTAGTGCATGTGTTGCATGCAGACCCACATTAAACAAACTCATGTTAAAAAGGAAAAGAAATATGTAGTAGGATAAATGCATTACACAGTATGTTCATACAGCCTCAGCTGCAGGCTGTAACAGAGTAGGGGTAAGAGCAACAGGCTGTAACACACGGTATGTTCATACAGCCTCAGCTGCAGGCTGGTAAGAGACTAGGGGTGAGAGCAACAGGCTATAACACACAGTATGTTCATACAGCCTGCAGGCTGTAACAGACTAGGGGTGAGAACAACAGGCTGTAACACACGGTATGTTCATATAGCCTCAGCTGCAGGTTATAACAGACTAGGTTTGAGTCTGTGCTGCAGAATCAGCATTTTGGAAATACAAGGAAGAACACAGCCTGCTATCATGCCTTCGCCCCTCACTTTTTTTCTCCCCAGGAGTGTTAAAATATTTTTCATGGTCTACAATGAACCATGCCTGTTCGTTTGGCAACATGCAGAAAACTGACCTACTGATGGGAAGAACGCTGCTGCGCCCACCAGCTGGAGAGAAGACAGCAGCGCGCACTTGAAACACAAAAGCCTCACTCACATCCAGCATCGGCCTTGGTGGTTTAAACAAGAAACGTGCCCCATGGCATGCCCCATTGGTGCCCAGCTGTGGAGCTGTTTGGGGAGATCCCAAAGGCATGGCCTTGCTGAAGGAAGGAAGTCCTTAAAGATAGGCTTTGAGGTTCCACAGTCCTGAGCCGTTCCTGGTGCTCGCTCTCTTTGCTTCATGTTAATACTCGAGCTGGGAGTGCTCAGCTGCTTTCTCCTGCCACCATGCTCCCCGCTGTCCTGCCTCCCTGCCGCGGCAGAGTCTAGCCCTCTGTAGTGTCGAGTCTAAACAAACTCCACACTGCTTCACTGCGGCAGCAGAAAAACGAAGTTAGATGTCCAGACTCACCTCTTCCGGTTCTATCAGCTTAAATTCCATGCCTCGGCCAGTCCAGGCAATGAAGTGGGCATTGGCTGGGTCATCAAGAAGGGTGACAAGGAACTGCCACAGCTGAAGAGAGCCTCGCCTCTGGTAAGGAGGCCCTTCTCGATACAGGGTGGGCTCCTGCTTGACCTTGCCTGCAGGGGACAGGGGTCCATATGTTATAATTGGAGTTGGAGCTTTGCTTGGATGTGCACAGAAAGCAGTGGTTTCCAGTGGCACAGCACCGAGTTGTGGATGGGCGTCTTACCTTCCAGTCTCTCGGGCACCACGCAGGTGTCATCGAAGTATAGCCTGGGGTCCTTTTCATACGTGAATCCTGAAGGTTTAAGGAGAGAGACCACACCGCTTAACATCCTGTGCTGTACGAAAAACTATGGCGTTAAGGACTAAAGTGGCATTCTTTAACGTAACCTAAGAACACTATTATCATCGTGTGTGCACAGTGTGTGTGTGGGGGGGACATGCGGAGAGCAGAGGGTAACTCTCTGGGGTCGGTTCTCCTCTCCTACCTTTTACAAAGACACTGGGACCGAACTCTCTCACTAACCCATATCGTTTCCTTCTGGGTTCCTAAGTTCTCCTGTTGTACCTATGCCAGACCGAATTTCCAGAGACTTCCTAAGGACTCAAGCATTCAAGTTCTGTTGTCATTGCCCTGGCCTCAGTGAGGGCTGCATCAGTTCGTGCTATTGGGACTCAGGCTGCAGGAGCTGCTGAGTCACGTAGCTTCCCTCAGATCTTACGAAGTTTGGAGGGGCCAGTGCTGCTGTGATTAACCTGTCTACTCTGGTCACCCTGGCTAGTTCTGCTTTATTTCTCTACAGTGTCATCATTTTCCATCAATCTTCCCGGCAAGCTTGCCCAAGCTATCCATACACCTCACGGGTTACAGCAAAGTAGTGAAGGAAAAGAAGACGGGTAAAGATGCAGGCCTGCAGGAGACGGAAGACCAGCATAACTTAAGACAAGTGCGGATCGCTAGCCCCAGACACAGCAGAAGAAATCAAAGTCGTCCTTGTGGTAGAGTTGACAAAGAAAGGAAGGGTCAAGAAATGGAAACTGTGCAGTATGAAGAAAAATCAAGAATGAAATAGCAAAGGCACACAGTGAAGGGGCCATGAGAAAGGATGGCAGTCTGGACCACCAGATGGCCTGCCTTCCATGTCACAACAAGATGTGTGGTTCACACCCATGGCAGCTAACGGCTTCTGTGCTCTCTGCCTGAAAGGTATTAGACTTGGTGTTCAGTGCTTCAGCTCTGGGTTTGTCTCTGGCTTAGTCCCTGGTTGATTCACCTGGCTCAAGATTTAGTCTGTGTGCCCTAGACATGCAGAGGGGACAAACAGGGGACTCTCTGTAACATGAAAACCCCACAGGTGAGGGAGCTCAGATGTAATCCCTTTCCTGTTATCCTTGGCTTCTTCGGACCAGGTGAGGGAATGCCTTGGCAGGCCTGGCACCATCTTAAAAACAGTGAAATATGTAACAGATTGTTTTGATCTTTGTGGCATTCATCTTTCTGTCTTTAGCCTCGGGCATGATTTTTTGATGGTTTAACAGTATCACATAGGGGCTGGAGAAATGGCTCAGTTGTTACAAGCACTGGCTACTACACCAGAGGACCTAGGTTTGATTCCCAGCATACACATGGCAGCTCACAACCATCTGTAGCTCTGGTTCTAGGGAAATCCACTGCCCTCTTCCGGCTTCTTCTTCTATGCCATGCACATGGTACAGCCATATATGCGGGCAAAACACCCACAAGATACTCAAAATTTAAGAAAGAAGTGCATTTTATTGGCTTTCTTTTTTTCCCTGATTGACTTCACTAAAAATTTAGGCCACATACCATGCTGATGTGAGCAGGTACTAAGAACACGGTACTAAGAACAGGTACTAAGTCATGGACCTTATTCTATTAGTTTATAATGTCTATCAGATTAAAGCAGGAAGCAGGTAGCAAAAGAACAGGAAATAAATGACATAGTATAGCACAGGGATTAAAGAGTGCACGCTCTAGAACGAGACAGGTTGACCCCGCTTAGTTGTGTGACTTCGAATAAATCAGTTCCACTGTGTTCAAGTTTCTCTACTGGTACCGTTAGGAGGATTTAATGACTTAATGAGTTTCCTGCTCTATCTTCTCAACAGAGTGTAAGCAGAGCTTCCAGTCCGCAAGCGTGAAACTAATGACACCTAAAGAGAAACAAACGCAGTGGCAGACTGTGACAAGCACTGTTGAGAGACTGCATGATCCCGTGTCTGGTGTGGAAGGCTCATGCCTTGCACCCCAGTGCTCTGAAGGCAGAGGCGGGTGGATCCCTTTGAGTCCCAAGCAGCCGAGGCAGCAGGATTAGCAATGAGACTGCCTCAAAAACGAACAACCAACCAAGCCACCCTGAAAGACAGCATGGTAACTTTAATCCTGACATCCCCTGCCACGGAGTCAAAAACTCTCAAGGTAAGGGTCCTATCCTAGGCATTTTAGTGACCTCACGGCACCTTGCACATAGTAAGTGTTCAAGCAATATTTGAGGTACCACAAGAGCTCCTGACAGTTTAAGCAAGGAAGGTAGACAGGGTCTCATGTAGCCACATAGCTGTGCATGACCTTAGAACCCCCACCTCCCAAGTGCCTAACACCTGGCAAACTGACTTTTATGACAAGCTGGTGTACTTGACGCTATCAGCAGAACAATTCCGTGCGTCATGCTTTTGCCCTCAGCTGCCAGGAGGTGATATATTTCCCACCTTCCATATGTGTTTTGCTACCCCGGCACTGTTTAAATGGTCTTGTTATAAAGCCATCGGCAGTGAACTGCTTTCCGGCTTACACGCCCGTCACACCTGTCACACGTGCCCCGCTGTTCTCAGCGCTGTCCTCTGAGGAAAAGAGAAGGCATCCACAACCCCACCAGACACTCAAGTCTTGTTAGTTTTCAAAAACTTATAAGGAACATCACTCGGGAACATTCTGTGGTTTCTAGTTATTGCCACACGAGGTCCTCTAGCACACCTGGAAGAAGTTCTGGTCTGAGCAATAAAGTCAGCTGAGCTCACATCTGCAGTTATTTCAGTTGTGGCCAGAACCATCTAATCACCCAAATAAAGGCGCAGGGAGGAAGAGCCTGCTTGGAGGGCGAAGTGGAAATGAAAGACTCGCAATATCACACAAGGGCTCCAGGTGAGTACCCGAGGCAGGCCGGCTATCGCAGCAATCAGAGATGCCAATCAGAAGCGCTTGTTTTGATTAACTGTTTCCTAGGCATCTGTGGTCAGGACAGCGAAGGAAGGAGAGACAAACCGGGCCAAGATAATTTAGAGCAGTTTAAAAACACTGTTTTTTTTTTTTTTTTCCAAATTTACTTTTTTTTCCTCCTTCAATGTGTGCGGTCAGCTGGGCAAAGGAATAGGTTGGAGGGCGGAGGGTGGAGGGTGGAGGTGGCTTCACAAGATGGTTGTGTGTGTAGTAAGCAACCCGAAATCTTACTAAAAATATTTCCCTTGAGAGCATGCTCTTTGCTAAATGTTGTAATTACACAAACTGTGTGCCTCCCTCTCGTCCCTGCTCTCTCCGCATGTGCTCTGTGCAGACATCAGCCGCCTCGACAGGAACAGGGAGGGATCTGGAAGCAGCCTACACAGCTGTGTCTACACAGCCAGCGGGACAGTAGACAGCCTGCCCGCTCAGGTCTGGACACTTGCTGAAACTATCACAGAGCACACAGCAGGGAAGAGGCCCTGGTCTTGCTTAGCCTAGGGGAAGCCCCTAGTCAACTGGTCACTTGCTTTTGTTTGTTTTCCAGACAGGGCTTTTCTGTGTAGCCCTGGATGAAATGGACTCACTCTGTAGACCAGGCTGGCCTTGACCTCACAGAGCTCCGCCTTCCCTCTGCAGAGCTCCAGAGTGCTGGGGTTAGAGGTGTGCACCACCACAGCCCAGCTTCAACTAGTCACTTGAAGAACAACCAATGCTTTCTGAGTATCTAAAAGGCCACAGGCAGGTGGTCAAAGTCTCAAGTACATGGGATCTCACCCTGGAATTTGGGGGTCTCACCACTTAGAATAAAGCCTTACTTCAAAACTTTTTAAAAGCCCCCTCAGGTGAGGCTAAGGTACAGCTGAGGTTGAGTGTGGGTTTCAAAACTGAAGAGAGACTTCTGGGCTCCATGTTGGAGCCTTTGATTCAATAGCTACACTAGGTGGTTTTGTACGTCAACTTGACATAAGCTAGAGTCATCAGAGAGGAAGGAGCTTCAGCAGAGGAAATCCCTCCATGAGATCAAGTTGTAAGGCATCTTCTCAATCAGTGATCCACTGAGAAGGACCCAGGCCATGGTGGGTGGTGCTATGCCCCGGGCTGGTGATCATTGCTTCCTATACCCAGAGCAAGGTATAGGAAGCAAGCCAGTAAGCATTCCCCTCCAGGGCCTCTGCATTGCCTCCTGCCTCCGGGATCCTGTCCGACTTCCTTCAGTGATGAACAGCAATGTGGAAGAAGTTTAAGCCAAATGAAATAAACCCTTTCCTCCCAACTTGCTTTTTGGCCAGTGTGTTTGGCCACAGCAACAGGAACCCTAACTAAGACAGGGGCTCTTGGGAATTTGTCTATCCAAGCTCTAAGGGAAGCTGGTGCCACCAGTGTGGGGGAGACAGAGCTCTAATGTATTTATGTGGATGGATGTGTTTGACAGAAATGAAACATACTTCAGGAGATCCACTCTATGGAAAAGTACTTCCCTATCTCCGCGCTTGGAAAGGAGGTCCTGACTCCACCGCGCTGCCAAGAAGAGTAACTTCTAGCCCAGTGTAGACCTCTCAGGCCTTTCAGCTTGGAAATTTCCTCTCGGCCCCACAGGGCTCCTTCCCATCACATGAATGGACTGATCTGCCATTGCCATCCATTCATGCAGGAGCTATGCACTCTGCAAATGGTCCTTGCAGCTCTGACAGCTCAATTATCTTCCTCCCACACTGTGCCCCACCTCTGGATTCCCATCCAATTACTTCTTCAAACAAGTCCTAAGACTTAAAAGTTGGCAACTATACACTGGAAACAGACAACAAAATGCTGGCCTTCATGAAACCTGGCAATAGACATCTCAAAAATGTCTTGGCCCTTTAACCCAGAAGGGTCAAAAATTTAGCTTCAAGAAGTAATCAAGCAAACATGGAAATATTTAATTAAATGAATTAGATGAATGTTCATTTGTAATTATTTTGCTGAGGTATCTGAATATTTAAAATTTAACAAGAAGGTCATAGGCAAATGCACCCTCACACAGTACGAACTATGCAGCCACCATAGAAGAAGCTGCTGAGAAATACTGGATCTGGGTGATTTCACTGGACAGATGTGGAGTGAGATGAAGGTTGGGTTTTGGGCCCTGAGGGGCTTGTCTCAGAATTTTGGGTCTACCACCTTCCAAGCCATATCATTTAGAGTGAATCTTGTGAACTTAAGAGTTTCAACAGGTAACAACATCCATCTTACATGACTGTTGGATGATCAAATGGCTTGCATGCGAGTAAACCGCTTAGGAAAGGGTTGGGAACAAGGTAAACACACAGTCAAGGAATGACTCCCGCTAAAAGACTCGATAAAAGGAGTCCTGGCATGATCTGTACATTCTGTATAGATGTATGCACAGAAAAGCAAGCTCATGACTTCCTTTGGACAGTGAAATCTGAATTTTATATTCTGTATCTTATAGTCTATGCTCTCTAAACCATGTGTAATCCATATTTATTGCTGACAGAAAGAATAAGCTACGAAGGTTTGTACTGTGAACAAAAGTAGCAGAAAAGCAAAGGAAGGTTCTCTAGAAACGCTCGGATTCCAGCTCCTTTCTGATCATTTCCTTGAGGCTGCGTGCTACACTTTATCTATGAATCTTCTAAAAACGTATGCATGACATTAGAGGGCATACTGCGTGCCACACTGAAGGTCAGAGGACAATTTGCCAGAACTACTTCTTCCACCAAGTGGATCCTGAAGATCAAACTCGTGGCAGGAGGCTTGGCAGCACCTCTGACCACTGAGCCACCTTTGCTAACCCTTACTCTGTGTTTACCAAGGAATACCTTGAACTTCTGGTCCTCTTGCCTCCACCTCCTGAGTGCTGAGATTATAGGCCTTTGCCTCCTTGCCTGGCTATCTGTTGTGCTCACAGCCTTATACAGAGCCTCTTGATTGGTAGGTGGCCCTCCACCAGCCAGGCTACACCCCGCCCAGCATCTTGACTTCTTTGTATTACTGTTAGTCCAATTAGCTTGGTGTTACGAAAGATAAGGTCACAGATCCAGCTCTGCCCACCGCTCTTGCTCCTAATTAAAAGTATCTCAGACCAGTTAGTCAGTTCTAAAGGGACTGTGGACTAGAGCCTGAACAGACAGCATCCAGCGCTCATCCTTTGTGTATGTGGTTGTTTGAAACCTTACATCTGGAGGTCAGAGGTCAATGTCAGACATCGTCTATCACCTTCACCTCATTTTCTGGAGACAAGGCCTCAAACTAAAGCCAGAGCTCACTAACTGGCTAAACCTTAATGTGCATTTACTCAATAAACATCAAGACATTAATTCATGTTTGTCTCAAATCACTTCTTTTTTTCCCTCCTAGCTGTCCTTAGTTTATCCAATGAGAAAACACCTCTGTTGCGCCCTGTGTGTTTTGTACAGAGCAGACCACTGCAGAGTCTTCGCAACTGTCCTATTTGTTGCCATCCTTTCCTGCGAGCAGCCAGCTCTCTCTCCAGCTCTCTCAAGGCCTGAAGAGCAGTGACTTCCCTTTCAACAATCATCCATTACATCACCGTTCCGACGATGTGCTGCCCACCCAAACTAAGGGAAAAGCGGAAACGCGCCCTACAGTTCTTTCCCAAGATGTCCTTGGACCCATGCAAAACCTCCTGACCTGAGACCTAAGGGCCCAGTTTAGGCTGACACAGCTGGAAACATAGACACCAAGTTCCCCTTTTCTTCGTGTGGTCCTAGGAACTGTGCACAGTGAGGGCCACTGCCATTCACGACGACTACAGCCTCCGTGCTTAGGCGGCTGGCTCACAGTAACTGCCGATTCCTATCACGGAGCTCTCAGACGCATGAGCTGCGGAAGGCCTAACCACTGACCTCAGAGCTCAGTTTGGAAACAGAGTAATTCTAAGTTAAGCATATGCATTACCAAAAAAAAAAAAAAAAACCAAAACTAAAGGAGAAAAAAAGAAGAGGAGGAAGAGGAAATCCTCCAACTTCCCCGTGTGTGGTGGCACATACGGCCCCTGCCCCCAACCAAATTAACTATAAAAGGGCGAAAGCGAGCTCCTTACCGTCATGGTTGCTGGAGAAATATCCTCCTCCTCTCATGTAGGACTGGCAGTTAGGCACTTCTGAAAGGGAAGCACAGATGCACACATTCTTCACTGTCCCTACAGAACAGCAGAGGATACGCCGGGCAGCACAGCCCTTAAACCCACGCCCCAGGGCCATACTGTTTATCTCTTGCCAACCTGACCTAAATCAGAGGTACTTGGGAAGAGGGAGTCTCCACTGAGCAACTATCTCTGTCAGATTGGCCTGTGGGGCATTTTATTGATTGATATGGGAGGGCCTGACCCACTGTGGGAAGTGCATATCTGAGGCAGATCATCCTGAAAGTGTGTAAGAAAGCAAGCTAAGCAAGCCATGATGAGAAAAAAAAAAATCAAGCCAGTAAGCAGCGTTCCTGTGGCCTCTACTGCAGTTCTGGCTTTGGCATCCCTCAATGGTGATGGACAGTATAATCCCTAAGCCGAATACCTAACCCTCAACCCCACTCCCTGCACTACCTAGTTGCTTTTCATGAGTGTTTTATTACAGCAACTAAGAATCAACCTACGACAAAGGGCAAGTCTTTGGGGCCTTGTTCTGTGGAAGGGTACCATGCTAACAAACAATATGGTAAACACTAGAACCCAACACCTGCAAGCAAGACCGCCTCATCAGGACGCGCAGGAGAAAGAAGAGAGCAGCTTTGTCCTCGTCTCACTCATTTCAGAAACCAGCGAACAACTCATCTGGCCAGAAAGCTAACGGTAACACGAGAAGCCGGCTTTCAAAGGGGCTTTAGGATGGGGTGGGGGAAGATGATCGCTTTAGACCTCTCCCAGTCTGCTCCTGTGGCCACTGAAGCTCACAGCCAATTCTGCTGCCAGAGATGAGGGTATTTAAGGCCGAAGGGATTAGTGGAACTAAAGTGTTGAAGCCAGGATGAGAACTGGCAGAGTGGGTACTGTAGTTTGGCAAGCATGTTTTCTCCATGTTGGATCTGCTATGCTGAAACTAAACCACACTCTTTGAGCGATCTCTTCTTCAAGTCCCATGAGAAGAGTGACCCGGGAGCACACTGGGACAAGGCTTCGGATGTGATGCTTGCTTTTCTTCAAGGGAATGGGATGAGACCAAAAACTGACTGAGACAGATAAAAATTTGTCAATGGGTGGGGCAGGGGTGCTGGAGAGATGGCTCAATGGTCAGGAGCACATACTGCTCTTCCAGAGGACCTGAGCTTCAACTCCCAGCATCCACATCAGGCTCACAGTCACCTGCAACTCTAGCTCCAAAGGATCTGACACTTCTGGTCTTTGGAGGAACTCACATACACTGATACAAGCACATAACTAAACTAAGCTTGCAATTATATATGTATTTTTTCATATATATGTAACATTTATTATATAATAAATATTATAAAAATGAATGAATAATCACGTGCGTGTGTCAATGCTAGCCCAAAAGGATCAATGTTACCATCATGACTTGCGCCAGCAGCTATTTTCCATCAGAATGTGGTTAAGTTTCCCCCTTACCCTACTTTCTCGATTCCCCCAAATGGTGCAATCTATGTGTTCTCTCAGAGACCAAGAGCCCCCCCAAATGGTGCAATCTATGTGTTCTCTCAGAGACCAAGAGCCATTCTATACCCTGTTCCACCCACAAGGGCCATTCAGATTCAGATTGATCCAACCTTCCAAAGGGGATTAACAAAAGTCCACAGTGAAAGGCAGAAGCACCTAACAGCCAGGAAAGACTGGGAACACTTCAGCAAAGGGGAGAAATGTGTTTTTATACCTACAGCCTGCAAGGCTCCAGGTGTGCTTTCCTCTGGGGTCCCAATGGGTCTGGCCCACAAGACACAGAGAAGAGAGGTCAAACAGCCTCTTCATATGCTGAAGCTCCTAGACAAGCAGCAGTGACCCTCACAGGTCACAGCTCTACCTGGGTCGGCTGTACTGACAACAAAGCCACAATATATGAAAACACAAATTGTGTTCCTTGTGTCCAGTGCCATTAAGGGTAGGGCATCATCCAAGTATGAGTCCAGCAATCCTCAGCTTTGACTCAGAGGTATACTATATACGCTTCTGAATATCAGTACTTAATTCATTAAGTTCTTTGAGGGCAGTGTTTTGCTTGTTTGTTTTGGTAGGGCATGGAACTCAGGATATTGTATTCTATATAGTGAGCTGCACACCAACACCTGAAGACAATTCTTAAACAACGATTACTTAAAGCATGGCAGACAACGGACTCAGTACTAATCAGACAGATGAATTTTGAGAATACAGAAGCCAATACAATGAGTTTATGCTAACCTGAATCGGTGCAATAATCTCGGGGTTCCTGCTTGATTCCCATTGGTGACTGGAACCCATGTGCTGGAGGACCAGGCATCCCAGGGACCCCGTGTTCATAGAGCGGGTCATGGTATTCCTGCTTGAATCCCTGAAGGGGTGGGGGAGCAGCGGGGACAATAGGCTCCGACATCTGTCGGTGGTAGCTGGGGCGATTATCTCCAGGAACTCCTGACTGAGGAGGGAAGGGGTGGCAGGGTTCAGACAGCTGTCGCTGAAATCTGGAAAAAGGAAAAAGTTACATTGTTTAATACAAAATGAATACTTACTATGATTCAGCATTGGGGAGTGGTCACACATCTGGTTTAAAAAGATGAATTAATGTCTAAGTTAAGAAAGTTATGTTGTTCCATTATTAATGTGTGTATGTATATGGACACGGGTGGGTGGGCACATGTGCCATGACACACGTGATCGAGGATCACTCTGTGGAGTCATTCTCTCTTTCTACATAGCTTCTAAAGACAGAACTCAGGGCATGCTGAGCGTATATAACATGTACCTTTAATGGCTGAGCCATCTTGCTGGCCCACGAATTTTGAAAAGAACTAATGACCTACTTGGTATGGGTGCATACCATAAAACTGCCATAATTAGAATATAAGAAATGAAAAGTCAACTGGTAGATCAAAGAAACCGATTTTTTTTAAAAACATCAAGAACTGTCAAGAATATTGCAAAATATACTTTTATTACCTGTTAAATTAAGCATTTCAAATTTGTAAGGAAGGTTAGGTTCCATTTTATACTACAGTCTAAAGCATCGTACGGCTAAAAGATTTCGTATTATGAATATATACGAGGACTTACACAAGCCGGGGGTGAGAGAAGTTATGCTAACATCAGAAACCATCAAGATAAACATGGGCATGAAATCAAAAGTAAAACACAGAAGTGGGAAGTGAAAAAAGTCACCTGTGATAGCCAGAAAATGCCAGAAACAAAATCAAGAGTAAAACTGGGAACACAGCAATATTGACAGGGTTCTTACTTTTATTTTATCTGTTTGTTTGCCTGAGTCTCAGGAAGACTCCAGATCCTCCAGCCCCAGGCTTCTGAATGCTAGGATTACAGGTGAGTATCACCAAGTCTTTCAAAAGCTAACTGAGGATCAGCATCTCAGCATGGTGGTTTGAATGAAAATGGCCCCCACAGGCTCATTTATTTGAATGCTTAGTCACTAGGGAGTAGCAGTACTTGAAGGCTTACAAGGATCAGGAGGTGAGGCCTTGTTGGAAGTATGTATCACTGGGGGTGGGCTCTGAGGTCTCCAAAGCCCAGCTAAGCCCAGAATCTCTTTCCCATAGATCTGGATGAAGCTCTCCACTCCTCTGCCAGCACCACACTTGCCTGCTGCCATGATGATAATAAACTCTGACACTGTAAGCAAGCCCCAATTAAACACCTCGCTTTGTTAAGAGTTGCCTTGGTCATGGTGTCTCTTTACAGCAGGAGAGAGGGTAAGTCACTGAGTGCGTGAGGCAGACGGGAAAATCAGTCATGAAATAGTAATGGCCATAAATAAAAAGTTTATTAGTGACCATAAAAGGGGGCCAGAGAGAGGGCTTGGAACACTCGCTCCTATTCCAGAGGACTCCAATCAGTTTCTGAACCCTACTGGGCAATCCTCAACTGCTCCTACTCCAGCTCCAAAAGACTGGATACCCTCTTCTGGCCTCTATCCTGTACACAGAGGAAAGGGGGAGGGGAGGGAAGGAGAGGAGAGGAGAAGAGAGAAGGAGAAAAAAGACCAAGTTGGCTAGTGAGATGTTTCAATGGGAAAGGCACTTGCCACAAGGATTTGGTCCAAGACCCACATGGTACAAGAAGAGAACTGATTCCTATAAACTTTTCTCTGACCACACACATGCTGTGTGGTGTACACACTCACATAGCAATAAATAAATATAATAAACATTTTTTTTTTACTAAAAACAAAAATTACCTTGGGATCAGACTAACCGAGGAAGTGAAAGACCTATACAATGAAAAATTTAAAATTCTGAAGAAAGAAACTAAAGAAGTCACCAGAAGATGGAGAGACCTTCCAGGCACATGGATCGGTAGGGTTAATATCGTGAAAATGGCCATCCTAGCAAAAGCAATCTAAAGATTCAAAGCAATCCCCATCAAAATTCCAACTCAAAAATTTTCAGATATTGAAAAAAAATCTTAGAATTCATAGGGAAACAATAAAAACCCAAACGGCCAAAACAATCCTAAACAACGCAAACGCTGTGGGAGCTATCATCACCGCTGATTTCGAGTCAGATACACCGTAAGCAGAAACAGCATGCCACTAGAATAGAAGCTGACATCATGGACCCAAAAGAAAGTTCTCGTTCCTGTTGTCTTCAACAGATAAAGCGGTGCTGGTCAAACTAGGTAGCTACATGGAGAATGAAGCTTCAACCTTGTCACTCACCCTGCACACAAGGATCTCAACTTCAGACCCCAAACTCTGAAACTTCTAGAAGAAAAAAGTAGGGAGTACACTTCAGGATACAGCCTTAGGTAGGGATTTCCTAAATAGGAACCAAAACCATCAGTCAATCGGGACTCCACAAAATTCAAATTTCTGTATTGCAGGAAGCTGTTAACCATGGAAGAGGCCATCAAATGGGGGGGGGGGTCGTCTTTGCTAGGTTACAGCTGACAAAGGATTAGTATCTAGAATATACAAAGAACTAAACACTAAAGCTAAACACCAAGAAAACAAAAGATCCCATTAAATCATGGGCTAGAAAAAGAACACGTGCTAAGAAAGACATTTTAAAATGTTGGCCACCCTCAGCCATCAGAGAAAGGCAAGCTAAACTAAACTATTTTAAGATTCCATCTTACCCCAGTCAGAATTGCTAAGATTAAGAAAACAAAAGACGTGGTTCTTGTTAATAGATGTAATCAAACAACTGGACTTAGATTGGAATCAATCTGTGTCAACAGGTGGCTAACAGATTTCTAGAGCATCAAGACTTAAACCCTTAACTTTAGAGATCTGGGCACAGATAAAGCCCAGAGATCAGCAAGATCAGTGCGCACAGGACCGCTCTTGGGTGAGTTCTTACTTAACCCCGCCTGCAAGCAGCATCATAAAAACCACCACGTTAGAATGTGATCCCTGAGCAACTTACACATGTATGTTCTTCTGCCTTCCCAGACAGAAAAGCCAACACTCTCAATACCCCACCACTGTGAGGTTCAGTGGGCACGGGTGCACTATTTCAGCAGAAACCCGAGTTCTAAAGTTCCTGTCATTTAAGAGTCTCCAAGTGAGCACACATATGTATGCAACTCAGGCTTGGGCAGACATTTCAAATACAGCCTCAGTCAGCAGCTCAAAACCTGAACTGGGGTCTTTCAAAACAGCACAAAGATATTGCAGAGGCTTTATTCTTTCTTCATGTAATTTATTTTACTTTTATTTAATTTGCACTGGTATTTTGCCTACATGTACGTCTGTGTGAGGGCAGCTAACAACTGTCTCTACCCCCAAGATCTGACACCCTCACACAGAGGCTTTATTCTTATTAGCTGTCCAAACCCTTTGTCACTTGGAAGAACAGCAGCAGGAACAGCCCCTCCTGGTTTCTCTTCTCCTGCCCCTTCAGAGGTGACCGCCACAAGTCAGTTCGTCTGATGGCTCCAAGATGGCCCACACCACTCAGGTCTGTAACCAGAGCCTTGGCAGCTGGCGGGACCAATGGTCCTGCTTCCGCTTATCCTCACCTTCTCGCCTTCCAGATTGTAACTCTAGAGCTGGCCTGGAATGGCCTCCTTAGGAGAGGACGCTTCCAAGGGCCCTATTCAGCAACTGTTCCCTCCCCCCAGCTGAGTTCTAGGATTTACCAAGCCAAGGCCTGGACAGATCTCAAAGACAGGGCAGTCTTTCACCAGCACTGCTCCGCACTGCTTGTTTCCAGAAGGGAGCGGTGGGGGTGGAAAAGGAAGCCTGGGGCAGGTCACGAGACCAACATATCTGAAAAAAGATTGGCTCGGAGCTTGCAGCTGTAACTGCTATTCTCAGAGATTAATAAAGTAATTCAGTACTCATCCTCAAAACACATCCTGTGAACTTTACTCATTGGCCTTCATCTGAACATCACCCCCCCACACACCCCAGCGATCTTTTTGAAGCATCTAAGAACGTGTGGTCCACATAAAACAGTCCCAACCAAGATGCTGCTGGGATCATCCCCAAAGGAGAGCAGCCCAATCATACCAGCCTCTCCTCCTCCTACCCCACCCGTGACCCCAGTGCGGCTCACGGGAGGGCACACTGGGTGAGCGAAGGGACACAGACTCCAGCACAAGGCTTCTGAGAGCCAGTTTATTTAAAGGCCAAATTATTTATTTATTTGTCAGATTTATATAGCGTCTTCCCTCTCAAGAGCACGCCCACACCACCAACATTTGGTTTACGTTATGAAAACTGTTAGGTTCTCTTTCTGCATTTCCTTTTTGGTCTCAGCTGCCAGCACACAGAGTAAACACAATGGCAAGAGAAGCAAGAGGAAAAGTACAGCTTCAACGCAGGGCACCGAGTGTCTATGCCTGGCAGGTGAAATGCGGGCGGTTCAGAGGTCACGTCACCCCGAGATGATGGGTAAGGTTCCACAAGAACCGCGCCACAGGCTTAAATCTCACTGGTAATGGCTAAGAGAACATGATGGAGAACAGGGAAGCAGCAGAGGCAAGCGAGAGCCTGGCGGTGAGGTCACAAGCTGCGCTGAAAGCCAGTCTCTACCACTGGCTCCCCGCGTGACTAAGGCAAGTTACATAACTGCTCTGAGCCTTCATTTTCTTCTCACCAGCGGAATAAGGATGACCAGGACACCTGCCCCAAAGATCTGTTGTAAAGATCACATAAGATAATGCGTGTTATTGGGCAGAGCACACTAAGTTCTCAATACACGCGACCTTCAGACTCCCAGCCAAAATCTATGCACTCCAAGCTATGCAAATACCAAGGCCTCATAGGGTCAGGGGATGGCCACACACACCGATCAAAGTAAGGACCATGAATTGTCCACCATATCCCCTTTTGAGGGACAGATGTTAGGTTTTAATTTTGAGTGACTCATTTATGCCCATCTGAGAAGAAAAGTGAGGCAGATTTGGCGAGCTGCAAGGGCAAGAGTTGCCACACCCAGGCATAACTCCAATAGTCAAAGGGCAGGGAGAAAGACTTTGCAATGCAAAAGCTGTAAAAATACAGCAA